TTTTAAAAAATTAAATAAAAAAATTAAACGTATAAAATTGTTAAAATAAAAGCATAAAAATAAACATTAATACAATAAAAATGTATGAATAACATAACAATGATAAAACTACTAAATACAATAAAACAAAACAAAAAATAATAAAAATGAAAAAAAAAAATAAAAGTAATACAATTTTCTTAAATGAAAAATAATTATTTTAAATTAAATTTTAAAAATGTATAAAGAAATAAAAATAAAATAAAATAATAAAATAAACATTAAACATTTTATATAAAAAAATAAAAAATAAAATAAAATAAATAAATTTTTTAAATGAAATGCGAAGAATGTTTATGAATGAAAAAGATGCTACAATAAAAGTGGTCCAGTTTAACACATGGTGTTTGTAATGCTTCACCTTAGGGTGTTTACCTCAGCAGAGCCGGTAATTAGAGAAGGAAAGTGTCTGTCTGTACGGGACATGATGAGCTAATGGATTTCCTCACACTACACCTCCTGTCCATCACTGTCAGATGCCTGTGTGTGTGCAGCTTCTGGTCACCATCTGTGTTCACTATTATTATTATTAATATTAAAGCACAGCTGGTCAAATGGATAAGGTCCTGCAAGTCTCAGAGTTTTTGCTAATATATCAAGTTACCTATTGTTATTATAGAAAATACATAATAAGTTAAATTATTAGCTTTAGATCTTATTTAAAATGTTTTGTTATCCTATTTTATTACAGTAATTGAAATATTTATATATTTCTTAATAAAAAGAACAACAATGACAAATCACATATCAAAACATGATTGTTTGTGTGTTTGTTAAACATTATATTGTGCTTGTTACATAACATAATACGTAACAAACACACAAACAAGGGTTCAAACTCATTTTAACATTCTTGCATGCATAATTTAAAATGATAAATATAGATAGATATAAATATAGATATATTAAACTTGGAAATACAGCTGTTGTAATTATAAATAACAAACTGCATCAAATATTGTAGTCCTCATAATAAAATACCCCCATGTCTTTCATTAGTGACTGTATGGTATTTTGCCAATGTTATGTATCTTTTTCAGAAAGAAATAATGAAAAAGAAATGCTATTTGATTGAAGCTAGTGAGTTTTTGTTGTGTTGTTGTATGCTCTTCTTTATGTTCTGGTTCTCTTCTCCCCGCTGTCTTTCCGACTGGTCCCATTAGGACTGCAAAAGGAGTGCAGTGAATCTGGTGTCTACACGGGGTAACTGTTGGCATATTGGTGGAGTCATTACAAACCATTTTTGTTTTTTTACTGCAGACTGTCAGCTTTAATTTGAGGGTATTTGAATTCAAATCAGGTGAACGCTGTAGGAATTACAACAGTTTGCATATGTGCCTCCCACTTGTTAAGGGTCCAAAAATAATTGGATAATTGACTTCTAAGCTGTTCCGTGGCTAAGTGTCTGTTATTCCCTCATTATCCCAATTACAATGAGCAGATAAAATGTTGTGTGTTTATTTCAAGTGTGCTACTTGCATTTGGGGTCAGTTACTGTCAACTCTCAAGCTGAGATTCAAAGAGCTGTCACTATCAGGGAAGCAAGCCATCATAAGGCTGAAAAAACAAAACAAACCCAAACCCACTAGGAAACTTGCTGGCGTGTTGGTGGAGTCCATTTAAATCGGACTGGACAATCGTTCAGTTAGTCTCCTGTTTACCAGAATGGTTTTGTTTCTTTGTGAGAACTTGTGTTGTATTTGTTTTGCGACACTGTTGAACTTAGAGAGTGGTGACTGTTAAACTACTGAGACCAATGTACAGAGACATGTGATGAGGAGGGAGCCGTTTGTTTTTTAAAATGTTCTCATGTTTTGTGTTTAGTGGGGAGGTAATTGAATGTTGTTTGATTTGTTTTCATTTTTGTGCATGTAAGAGGGTTTAAAGGGTGGCAAGGTGGCACAGTGGGTTCGCATGGGTTTCCTCCGGGTGCTCTGGTTTCCTCCACAGTCCAAAGTCATGCGCTATAGATGAAATGGGTAAGCTAAATTGTTTGTAGTGTATGTGTGTATGTCCTGGTCCCCAGAATGGGGATTGAGTGCCTGGCACCACGTTGCGGACCTGACAGAGCGGAGGAGGCTTTTATACTTGACTTGTTCGCCGTTGTGATGTTCTTTAAAATGACAGGGGCGGTCAAAAGAAACTGACCATAACATCATTCCAACCCAGGCTCATTCTGAAAACGTATTACGTACATTGAAACGTATTTCGGACGTTTCTGGAGACCATAAATTATGTAGCCGGAGGTACAAATGGCTACAAATTTTTTTAAGCGAACGCTACAGGGCGGTATGACGCAGTTCCTTTTAGCACTTACTGGCTGAGCGCTTACCTCAGACAAAAACAGAATCCAAAAAACAAAGTGAACAAGTTCATAACAGGGTGAAAATGTGGTAAAATCCGAAAACATGGTAAAAATCAGACGATGGATTTTCTTTTTCTGGACGGCTTTTGTTAATTGTTGGTTGGGTTTAGGGAAGTAAGCTGGTGGGTGGATCAATCGGTAAAATTGACTGGGTTCAGGGAAGGAGAAGGGTGGGTTCGACAGCGGCCTCTGGTGGGTTCAGGTGAGAACATCGCAGGTGCAAATGGCGTGCACACAGCGGCCTCTCGCGGATTCACAAAAACAAAAACTGGAACAACCTCATGATATTATATTATTTATTTATTTATTTATTTTAATTCACTCAAACTTTGATGCATCACTTGCTTTTTTCATACCTCGGACAGTTCCACCTTTTAAAGTTCATTAAAATATTAATGATCATGGGTTGCTCTACAAATATATATATATATATATATATTTTTTTTTAATGGCAAGAATAAGGTCACTGGTTTGAGTCTCGTCTGGGTCAGTTGTCATTTTTGTGTGGAGTTTGCATGTTCTCATTGTGAAAATAAATTGGCCTTAGTGTATGAGTGTGTGTATAAATGCGAGTGTGTTTCCGAGTACTGGGTTGGATTGGAAGGTCATCGACTTTGTTAAACATATGTCAGAATAGTTGGCGGTTCATTTTGCTGTGGTGGTTCATAACCTCTGAAATAGAGACTAAGCTGAAGGAAAATAAATGAATGAATGAATGAATGAATGAATGCTTCTCAAATTGCAGAAATAAAATTGCAGAAATAAATAAAGACTAAATAACTAACTACAGTTCCAACTTCCAGCTTTCCAGAGAAAGAGAAAAAGCTTGAGGTAACTAAACTGCAGCCGATGTTTTATATTATTCATTCATTCATTTTCTTGTTGGCTTAGTCCCTTTATTAATCCGGGGTCACCACAGCGGAATGAACTGCAAACTTATCCAGCACATTTTTACACAGCGGATTCTCTTCCAGCCGCAACCCATCTCTGGGAATCATTCACACACACACACACACACACACACACACACACTACCGACAATTTAGCCTAGCCAAATCACCTGTACCGCATGT